AAATTAGAGCCAGCCTCAGCAACTTGGTAAGACCCTGTCTCAAAATTTAAAAATTAAAATTAAATTAAAGTAAAATCTTTGCCCAGTACGACTCTTTAAGAAGTTGTTGATAGTTCATAAGGATATGTGCCTGAAGACCTGCATGAGGAACTCTTTTTTTATGTTTTGTTTTTCTGTGCTGGATGTGGAACCCAGGGTCCTGCACATGCTAAAGTATGCGCTCTACCCTCAAGGGGCGCTGGGGGTTGAGGGGCGACGGGGAAACTGAACCCAGAGAGCACTCAACCACTGAGCTATATCCTCACTCGTTTTATTTTGAGATAAGGTCTTGCTAGAACTGGCCTTCAACTTTTGATCCTCTTGCCTCACCCTTCCAAATTGCTGGCGTTACAAGTGTGTGTTATGGTGCTCGGCTTTTTTTTTTTTTTTTTTTTGGTATGGGGGATTGATCCCAGGGATACTTTACCACCGAGCTACATTCCACCTCTTTTTATTTTTCATTTCAAGACAAGGTCTTGCTAAATTGCTGAAGCTGGCCTGGAATTTACCATTCTCCTCCCTCAGCCTCCCCAGTAGCTGTAACTATGGGTTGTGCTGCCATACCCAGTTTAAGCCCCTCATTTTCAATCTTACCTGAGTAATTGCAACAAGAGGGACATTGGCCATGTAAAACATAAAAATACTAAATGGAAAATTACACAACTTTTAAAGATGACACAAATACATATACATATATGGCAGATATCTTTTAACAATACTGTAAAGGTTTTTATCGTTGCTAAAATATATTTATAGTTGCCAAGACAATATTTAGTGGGACTTTTTTTTCAGTAGTTAAGTCTTAAAACAACCTAACAGATTTTATCATTACTTGTGAGACATTTCCACTTTATTTCTTGCCTGCTGGATGTATAATTTTGCCAAGTCTTCAACTTCAAACAGAAGTAGCTGGCAGATCCAGATTCTGTGAATACTCACAACAGAAAAGAAAGATGGAAAAAGAGGGGCAAGGGAGCTTGTGTTAGCTCTATTAAATGAGACCTATAGCCCAGCTCAACTATAGTCCCAGCAGCTCTGGGAGGCTGAGTCAGGAGGATCCCAAATTCAAAGCCAGCTTCAGCAATTTAATAAGGCTCTAAGCCATTTAGTAAGACTTGTCTCAGAATAAAATATAAAAAGGGCTTGGGATGTGGCTCAAGTGATTAAGTGCCCCTGGGTTCAATCCCCCATACAAACAATAATAACAAAAACCCTGTATAAAGAAGACACACCTTGAGGTTTAACGTTTCTATTCTTAAAAAAAATAAAAATAAAAATAAAAAAAACCTACCCTTAGTGGATTGAGGGACAGATAAGATGATAATAAGATGATAGACACACTGTGACCCCAGAGTGGGAAAAAATAAGGGTTTTTTTTTTTTTTTTTTTTTTTGGTGCTGGGGGATTGAACCCAAGGCTTCACGAAACAGGATAAATGCATGATCTACCTACCACTAAGCTACTGCCCAATCCCCAAAGTGAAATTTTGATTGAAAAGCTGAAGAATTTTAGATGGACATTTTTTCTTATGTGTAGGAGAACTATTTAATAATTTATAGCAGCTTGAGATTTTAAGCACCCAACACAGCCATTAGGATCTGATTTTAGTTGGATATTGGGTTTACACAGTAGGATTCTGCAAGAAGAAATATTAGGGAAAGTAAAAACTGCTGCAGTCCCACTCGAAATTTCAAGCCCTTGAGAAAACAAATGCCAATCTGAACTCTAGTTCATTCTGAGCCCAGAGCACTGCCTGGAGGCTCTGTGGCCACCAGGGCCCCTATGCCCAGAGGGGTGCCCAGGGGCCCTCAAGCAAGCCACCCCTTGCAGCCAAGAGGCAGGAAGCTGGAGCTGGTGGAGACAGACTTCCTAGGCAATCCGCCCATTAAGAAAAAGAAAAAGGAGACTTATACTGCTCTAGCTGATAGTTTTTAAAAAATTATTTAGCTGGGCACAGAGGCTCATGCCAATAGCCCTAGCTACTCTGGAGATTGAGGCAG